TGAGTTTGCAGATCTGCTTGTTTTTCTCCTGCCTTCCCATTTGTCCCAGGGATTAAAGCCCTGTTCATTTTTGCGTTGCAGTAGTCCGGGCTGCAGGCAGATTTGCACTGGGCTGACCGGTGTGGAGCCCAGCTCYGCTCCCTGAAGAGCCTGTGGGCAGCTTCAATGTGAGCAGATGGGAAAGCACACACGAAACCAAAGCATTTAGAGTGGTGTGTTGTGCACTTTCCTTAGAGCATCAGCTGCCATACGTGTAATTCCCACCCACTGTAGGGAGGACATCAAAGCCTAAGTTTTGAGGGGGGATAAAGGGCACTTGTTGTTTTGATTAACAAGTGACAAAGATCACAAGCCTATTAATCCCTGGGAATCAGCACCTGAATGCGCCAGGCAAAGCAAAGCTCTCACAAACAGAGAATTTCRTCTTGTGCTTGTTAACCTGCTAATAACGCTGTAAATAGACCCTGGAAATTCAAACATCTGTGACTTGAGAATCCAGCATCCAGGCTGAAGCAYGACGATGGTTCTCAGTGGCCAGAACTAATTTGAGAGAAAAGTGATGGCCTGAAAACGGACACACGCCAGCAAGCCCTTTGCAGCCAAGTGAGGAGTGCTCGAAGAGCCCCATCCCAAAATCTTGTTCTCCTTTTGTCCCCCGCTTATTCAATTGCAGGTCAGTGTCTGGCTGTCTCTGCCCTGATCCCCAGCTCAGACACTTGCAGGGTCTGACGTGCCGGGCCTCTAAGTGCAGTCTTGGACTGCAGACTGTTAAGAAGACCTGTACTAGGCAGTAACCTTGCTTTTACATGGGATCTGCTTGYAACAGCTGAGGAGGACAGAGTTTTGTCTTAAGTTTCACAGCTTGAATGGTCTAGATAAAAAGCTTTGTAGCCAGCTGGCTCCTTGCTTTGTGGTAGTTAGCACCGTTACCAACCCRAAGCAGGAGGATTTGGGAAATGCCTGCAGTGTTGGGATGGCGCTCGGATGCTCTCCCAGGCAGCTGTTGGGGGAAGCTGGGCAGCTGCTGGGGCCGGCGGGTCCCTGGAAGCGCGAGCTCCCCGGCATCGCGCTGCGCCTGTGGCACACGCCCCTATCCAGAACCGCTGCACGGGGTGCTCGGATCCGTGCTCGGAACCGCTCAGCAGGCAGAGGGGAGGCTGCTCTTGGAGCTGCRTTACCCGAGGCTCCTGCATGCTCCCTCTTCGTGTTCATCTCTGGAGCATTAACAGGGGACTGTGATTTCTTTTTCTGYATCATTTACTTTACAGGAGAAAGGGGGGTCCTCCGAGCTTCTCCAGTAAACAGGCTTGCTCTTATATTCTTGGTTTCCCAGCTTGTGTTTGCGCGCTTGCTGTTGCCCTGTTTTGCATCTCCCCTTGGATGAATATTACYGCTCCTTTTGGCCAGAGATGGTGATCAGCATTTGGGATCTGCGTTTCTGTGCTGCACTGACCTGATTAAAAGAGTTAACAGAGCAAATAGGTGGTTTCTGGAAGGCAGGAGCCRGATTCATCATTCAGTTCCCAACTTTTCTAGCTAATGCACCAAGGACAAGCTCATTGCTCTCTYGTGGCAACACACTCTGCCCTATTGGGAACTATAAACTTCTGCAGTGGTTTTGCTGACTCTCACATACACATTTCCAACAATTTATATTCTTGCAACCAAAGGTCTGGGAAAAGCTGATCTGCCCTGTGTGCTTTGCGCTTAGCAAGGAGGCTGCTTGTTGCAAGAGATGCAGCCCATGAGACCATTTCTTTAAAGATGTGCAGGGATCGAGTGCTGTTTGCTGCCTGACTTCTTAGAGTGACGTAGATGCACTTCAGTAAGCAATCTCTTCCCTTGAAAATGCAACTGAAAAATTTGCAGTCTGTTTCCAGGCTGTTTCATACCTTGTTTGCTGTCTCTCCTCTGCAATTTGCTGCCATCCGTGATTTTTTTCCCCTCCTTCAGCAGCCCTCCTCTTTCTGTCCTAGCAGCTCGACCAGCCTTCCTTGGGTCTGCATCGGACCTGCCGTCTCGCTTTGGTGTGTTTGCTTGCTCCCTCCTATTTAGCACCCTACTGTGTTTTAATATTCAGCTTGTAAGCAAAGTGAAGCATCAGCCAAAACTGTAAAATCTGTCTGTATCCCCCCTAAAAAGAAGAAACCCTTTGACAAGTCAAGCAAAAATGTGCCTGGATTGCTAGCAGGTGGGGTGTTTGCTGTCTGAATATGAAGTGTTTACAGCACAGTCACTGTCTTGTATTAACAGCAAAAGGCTGTGGCTGCTTTTTCTGAGAAACCAGCTATGTCACGATGCAGTGGCACTGCTGGTTTGGATCAGAAAATTCAGTTATTTCATACTCATAGAGCGGCCTTGGGTAGACGCCAGGCGGTGGCGAATTGCATAAACAGAAGCCAAAAGTTGGCAATCGATGAGGACTGCAGCATGCCTGGAGCCAGTCTGACTTGGAGGATGCACTCGCCTTGAAGATTTAGGTCATTGCTACAGGTTGGGTGCCTAAGATTGCTAATAACGTTTGAAAATATGCCTATCTTTTAGTTTAAAAAAGAAAAAAAAATGAAAAGGAGAAAGAAGCCTGTGAGGATGAGGAGATGCACAGTGMTTTTCTCTGTGCTGCATCTGTGCATGCTCCATCCGTACACTCGCCTTCGTGCATGCAAAGCTGTAGGGAGACTGAGACAAGGGAAATCCTGCAGACTTGCTGTGCTCCTGCAAAGCTGCTGCTTCTGACCCCACCACCAAGCCCTTCTTCTGCCTCAAAAGTCAGACYTGGGCTGCTGTGTTTAGTAGCTGATCTGAACCCCAGGCAAGGACCGTTGTGATGATCCTTCCTCCTCTCATTCCCCTTTGCAGTGGTAGCTTCATGCCACTATATTCTCCTTGCTGAATCCTGCAACCATCCAAACTACTGGACTTGCAAATRCAGTTGATTCAAAGCTGCTGCTTTGACCAACCACCTAACTACAAATTTAGTTATTTTATGTCTTTGAGGTTCTTYGTATTGTTTTGTTTTCTACTACAACTCTGAAGTTAATTGGCAGTATATTTTGCAAACGCGCTCTTCCTGTAGGAGGCTTATTGCTTATGGATGCTGTGCAAATCACAGCTATTCTGCATGTGTTGAAAGCTGTAGAAAATGTTTATTGTTTCTTTTATGTGCGATTACCGGGTAGCCCATATGCACTGTACCAAGGGGAGCAAAGAGGACCGCTTGTCTGCAGAGTTAGGAGTTGCTTTCACTCGTCAAACAGCAGCTTTTTCATTCATGAAAYAGCAAATTCTTGGGAGGCAATCATCTCTCTGCATTTTAAATGATTCCGGTGCTGGCATATCCATCACAGCTAGTGTTCCTGTCTGGATAATCAATGGAAAGAAATGAGCTCCTCCACCATGCACCCGCAGGATCTGTGCTGGAGGCTCCCTCTGAAGGTGACRAATTGCGCCCTGCAAGTGCAGCTCAGTGAGTCTGGCCAGCTCTGATGTAGACATCTCCATCGTAGCCAGCACCTAGGGGCATGATTCATCTGCCCTGCAATTAGAAGTCTGCAGTGCAGGCATCTCCATCCGGGCTAATCCTTCATGCTCTCCTTATACCCTCTGGAKATCTGGGGACTGCAGTCCGGGAAGTCGAGGCCGGGATTTGTCTGACCGAATATACCCAAGCATTTCAGTTGGGGAAAGTCTCGGGGTGCTCTGCTGAACAAAGAACAAATTAAGCATATTCCTTGATAGGTTTTTCTCCTGTCGCTTGGCTAATTACTCGTTGAGTATCAAAGACCTGGATAGATTCCATTATCCCACAACAGTRATAAACCTCTAAGACTATTTATTTTCAGACACTCTTGATCATGTATTGTGAGACAGTGCTAACAATCCATGCCCATTAACAAGACTGAAGAGTCCAATGTAATTAATCCTACCTCCGATGGAAGCCACTCCAGCAGTTGRAAATCAGACTTACTGCTCTGTGGTCTATCCCTGCTGGAGAACTGTCTAAAAATTGTGGTTTATTTYCTATTTTCAACTCTGCCAGCACCACAGCCACTTCAGTTGAAGTTACTGCTGCAGTTAAACATTTCACGTCAGAGCTTCAGGATCTTGGGGGAAATAGAAACGAGTCCTGAATTGTTACTGGTGGCTTTGTTGACTTGTCCTAAAATGACATCTGCTGAAACTTCACGTTGMCACTGCTCTTCTACCTTGTCCCCCRTKAAGATAAATTTTCACTTAGGAATGTCTCTAACTTCCTTATATTCTGAATGTCAGTGTAGAGAGTTCAGTTTATATRTTCTTATACAGATAATTCCTTTTGAAACCATAGATTTGAAGAAACTTACTGGTGTTTACTCCATATTTCAACTATCTGGTTTTTTTGTTGTTGTTTTGGTTTGGGTTTTTTTTTTTTTTGCATTAAGGGACGCCATTTTCTCCAGTGTAGTTGGAGTTCATTTCTTTCATTTTAATGTGTTCCTTAATTCTTTTAAAGGTATTTTGCCTTTGTGGGATGCCTGTAGTTTGGCTGATTTCTGTAATAACTGATTTCTCATTGATGAGGACCACATATTGCAGGACTATGATCATGAATGTAATGGCAGGAAGGAGGGTGGGAGAAAGATGCCCGTGCAGGATTTTTGTTCTTGCAATCTTAATAAGAATGAGAATAAAATTTTGCATTTTAAAATGATGCAAAAAGACATGGAATGGCACAAACAATACACAAAATGGTTACTCTTATCATAACTGAACATATGCAACACTAAAGTGTTTATTTGGAGACTATTGGGAGAACGTAATTTGAACATTTGGGTATCTCTTACTCATAGGGAAATTGTCCCAAAACAGAAGAAAAAAGTAGTCTTGGTAGATGAAGCTAAAATGATCTTGTGCATATGAAAGAGAAGAGCATTTCTGTTCTAGAGCTTATAGAAACAAGAAGGCAGAGCATTTCTTTTGCTTTAACCTATTCTGTTCTTCATTTTAATTTTTTTAATTAGGTCATATCTGACTCCGGTRCGGGATGAGGAAGCAGAGTCCCTGAGGAAGGCACGATCCAGACAGGCCCGACAGACTCGCAGGTCTACACAGGTAAAGGGAAGGAATTCCTCGTGTCCTCCTGCAGGACAGAGGCAACGTTTCCTTGGCTTTATGTAGTACAAAGTTAGAGCTACCTCTAATTCTGAATGAGAACAATTGGTTAGCAGATTGTCAACTCTCTAGATTGCCTGTCCCAGAAACTAGCTTTCTCCATGTGTTCAGTGTTTTCCCATTGTATCAAAAGGCTGAAAACATTCTTAAATGATTCAATCTACTGCTTAGGATAAGGAAATTTTCTACCATTAAAATGTTGCAGAGAATCTGSCAAAATTCTGGCACAGTTATCAAGATAATCCTCCAGGTATACGTGGGTTAGAGTTCTAAGTTGTCATTTCTGCAGTTTATTGGCCCTTGAGTTTGCAGTTTGATCATGTATATTTGGGCTGAATTGACCCAGTGGCTGTGTAAGTACACTGAGAAGGRTGTTAAAGTCACCCGAATCTTTTTCTTTGTGTTAACCTGAAGTTGAGGACCTGGAAGACTAGAAATCTACTTGCACACAGGAGAAATGTCTCCCTCTCCCCTTCTCTCTAGGGTGTGACACTTACAGACCTTCAGGAAGCCGAGCGAACCTTCAGCCGGTCTCGGGCAGAACGGCAAGCTCAGGAGCAGCAAAGTGAGAAGGTGGAGAGCACGGAGCCCGCTGAGGACAGCAGGGAGAGACAGGAGACCCGGCCCCGGTGGAGCAGAAGTGCCGATGAGGAGGTGATGCTGGCCTTCCCATTGTCTCACACTTAATGAAGTCACTGAGGATAACAGGAGTTCCTTAGGGATCCCTTTTTATTTTAGGTGGACAGGGCACCGACTTCCTRCAAAGGGATTAGTGCAGGAGTGCAGCAATCCACATGAGGGATGTGGACATGTAGGTCTTACAGGTCAGCTAGTCCTTTGGTCTCCACTGAGAATATCACCGTTTCATCTCTTGGCAGAAAATGAAACTTAAATCATAGATAATTCTATTAAATAAGAAGTTTGTCGTGTGAATTCATCCTTGTTGTACAGACTGGGATGAAGCTTTATGTTAACATTTTCCACTCATATTTACTGGAAAGCCRGAGAGGCCAGTGTTCTCCCTTGCCACCACTCTTTTTTATATTCTTTTAAACTCTAAATCATTTGTTTCTATGAGATAACTTGTTTGTCCTGATGGTGGTGATAGCAACAAACAGACTGAAAACACACTAATGATGGGCAGGTGCTCTCACTTTGTGCTTACACCATGGTTTTTGTTTGTACCCCACTCTGATGGACTGGGCTGATCTAGCAGATGCAGGTCATCAGCAACAGTGGAGAAAACAAAACAGTCTAAAAGATTTTTGTTCAGTATCCAGTTACCTGCAATCCCACATCCTCTAATTCCTCTGTCTTCTGTTAACATTTGGTCGTGGCTGTTTGTTTATAGACTGTGTATCGGCGATTAAGGTGCCCAGGACAGACAGACAAACCTACCACACCTGTATCTCCCTCCACATCAGCACCTCTCCTTTATACAAGCTCTTACCTGACTCGAACAAACAAGTATCTGGATCTCGACTCTGTAAATCCAGCAGACTTCAGAAGTGCAGCCGCAGAAATGGAGAAGAATGGTATGTATCCAGCAGAATGAAGCACAATCTGAGAGTGCCCAGTCAGGGATTTTTGTGCATTTCAGAGCTTTCAGTACATACAGACACAATTAACATTATTATGGGGGGAGCAGCATGAAATATTACTTGTTTAGATGGAGTTCTTAACCTAACCACCAACCCAGAGCACAGCACAGACTATTCCATATAATAGAGGTAAACAGATGTTTTCCTTTTTGTGTGAAGTACTGAGGTAGTAGTCTAGGGAGCGTTTAGATCCTAGCGTTGGAGGGAGTGATTCTACTAGTATAGCCTGTCTTAGTATAAAGCTAAGCTGGGATGGTTTGCGGAGAGCTGACATGTAGGGTAATCTCTCTGTGGCTCTGATAAAGGAAAACATATTGGTAGCTAGATGTAATGGGGCACTGGGATTCCATTTCATTTAATAACAGTAGTGTAGCACAACACAACCCAAGTGACCTTGATTGGTTTGAAAAGAACCCAGGTACGTTAGCAAAAGCACAGATGTCAATCACTGAAACCAAAGCAGTCTTTCTTTGCTTGACTAGAGTGTGAAGATCAAGATTTAGACGACAAATCTCCAAACAAACAGTCCATCCGAGAGAGGCGGCGGCCCAAAGAGAGGCGAAGAGGCACTGGTATCATTTTCTCAACAAAAGATGTGAGTTTTAATTTCTTAAAGGGGAGAAACTCATTCTGTTATACTTGAGGTGAATTTCCTTCCACTTGTAAGATTGAGATTTTTTTCCAAGAGTCATTTGATTTTTGTCTTACACWGCTGGAAAGGGAAGGGCTATCAGACTAGCACTGCCAACAGAATCACTTCCCCATTTGACCCATGTAAAGTCAAAACAGAGGGAGGCCCAATTTTGGACCACAAATCAGTACAATTCTTGCAGAATTCTGGAATAGCCCAGAKAGGAGAATAGAGATTAGAAGTCTCAGCTTCTTTGAAAGAAAGAGGTCATGAGCCACTGGAAGTATTTTCAAACTCCTCTTGAGCCCAGATCTGGCTGCCCGTTAGCCCGCCTTGCAAAAGAGAAGACAATGAAGAATAAAACAAGCATGTGGTTCCCCTGTGTAGCATCAGAGAACACACACAGCATATAATGTGAAGAGCTGTTTGTCTCATAGTCACTTCTCTTAGTCCTGGTTTCAAGGGGATTTTCTCCAGTCTGAGGGAAGAAAGGCAGTCCTTCAAACCTTGATGAGTGAAGCAGGTAGGAGACTAGATCATCTTTTCAGCAGGGGAATAAATACTATGAAATCATGGTTAAGAAGTCTGCAGCAATTCTAGTCCAGCTGTGGACATCTGGGCTTCCTTCTGCCCCTCAGAGGTGGAGGCTTCCTGCACGATGCTATGAAAACACTCAGTAGTTTATCTGTAGATATGTTGAATCTTTGGAATTACGATTTGGACAAGGCTCTGCTGGAAATGTCAGAACTCCCAGCAAAAGACTTGTTTCAAAAACACCCACTTTTTCATTATTTTCAAATGATTCCTGATTTTTACACATGAGCACCCGATGTGATTTCTTGCTTATTTTCATGTTTCCTTAGTTAAATGTTTTACAGCTTTGGCATTTGTCTTCTCCATTGGTGCACTCTGAGCAGAACTCACTCTAGGTATCTTTCCTAAAGACTGGCCTCAAGCACCTATCTACAAAGAGTCTCTCGTGGGTGCTTTATTGGGACCTCTCTCAGATCATAGGAGCGTGGTATTTCGCTGTGATAAAAATGTTGCTAATCCCAAGCCTGCCTACTTATATTGAGGTTTTGTTTTGGTTTGTTTTCTTGCTAGGATGATGATGAAGTTGATGGAAACGAGGAAGTGAAGGAAACACGGGTAAGTGACAACGTATGTCTGAATACGAGGTACTTTGCTGCCTTGAATGGTATCGGCAAGAGGTCTTCTGTGGCTTCACTTTTCTTCATAAAAATGGTTCAAGCTCTAATCAGACTCTATTCTGAGTGCAGACCAGGAGGTAGTTCTGAGTAGCAGATTGCTTATTGAGTTTTATTCTTGAAAACAAACAGACAAAAAAAACCACATAATACAGACTGGCCTAAGCTCAGAAGTTTGCTCTTTATGAACCACACCGACAGCTCTCAAACCCGAAGGGGCTGGGGCAGGAGCAGGGGTGGCCACGTTACTGAGAGGGCTGTCACAAGCTGCCATGTCTGCGAGCGTGGCCRTGACCTTGTCCTGCAGGATTACTCTGACACGGTTATTTTGGACTGTATGTTTTGAATTTCCAAAATCTCTTCTCTTGTCGCCTCCTGGATTTGTTTCCTTTTGGGAAATAGTCTTGCCAAGCAAGGCAGCAGAGCTCATTCTGTTTCCCTGTTATTGCAGTAGTCCCATTATCCTTCCATTCCTTGCTTGGTAGCAATTATTAAGTCCTTTCAAACTGACGTGGTTTCTTTTGTTTTTGTCTTTGTGCAAAGCTTGACAGCATGACTTTGACAATGGATTTAAGCTAAGTTCCCAAACTGTTAAAGGAATATGTGCAAGACCTGGGATAAAGAGCARTCTTAAGGTTGCGTAGGGAATCAGCACGCTGCGGGATGGTTGATCTTGGATGGAAAATGCTCAGTAGCCTTTTTGGGTACTCTGTCATGCTTGAGAGGGATCGAAGCATTATTTTACTGAAAAGTAAACTGGTTCTCTGCTACAAGGTTTCAGTTATATTCTTTGAGGTACAATTTGCTTTTTCYTTTTTTAATATTGAGGACAAATGGGACAAAGTCAGTTAATCTTGTGGGGAGCAGAGGCTTGGGCTCTCATGGCTCTTGGTGTGTGCCCATCTTTCAGTGCCGACCTTTGCAAGTGGGAAATGCAGATATTCCTTCTTGCTATGTGTATTAGAAAGGAAGCATCCCCTGTTTTAAGGAACCGAACTCTTTCCACGGGAGATTCTGTGCATGCTGTGTACAGCTTAGTTAAACCTTCCACTTAAGTCTTAGACTTCCCACAGTTTTCTTGTGGGTTCCCACTGAATGCACAGCGACTTCCCCGCACTTCTCTTGGCCTTTGGGGGCATTTGTTTTGTGGCAGCAGGCCCTCTTTTTCTGYTTATGCACCTCAAGTGTTTTGGAGCCTAATTTAGACTCTCTTACTCTGATGCTCCGTTTGTTCCTCCCCTTTCTCCAAGTCCTCTTGATTTTATCCAGTTTACAGATCTTTTTCTTTACTTTTTGCCTCCAGGGTCCAATATCTTATTATGGTAGGTATCTGGGCACTCTTTTATCAATTTATTTTACAGTTCAAATCAGTCCTACTAATTTCTGTCCTACTAATTGGTCATCAGTTCAACAGGAGTCTCTAAGCAGCATTTTTTTTCTTAATCAGGAAATACCATTAAAAAAAACCTATCTATTTATCAATAACCAGGTTACAATTCTGGGCTAGCAGGTGCCTGTCTCACTGTTGTGAACTCAGACTTCCTGAAATGTCCCCCGTTATTTGCAGAACTCCCAGGGCTGCTCTGAGTTCATGGGAGCAGATCCGTTTCCCCCCTGGTTTGTATCTTGCCTAATATTAGGAAGATTTTCCCAGGCACCACAAAAGGCCCTGCTTGAATCCCTTCTAAAACGTGCAGCCCTGGAGTTCTGCAAGGAGAGGTAGATGCAATTTTTGAAAGAAAAAAAAAACTAGAAAATACAGGCTTTTTTGCTCCGAAGTGGACGGATTGTGTTGGCTGAAGCTTTTGAGCCCTGGTGTGGGACACCAGCCCCGACACTGGCCGGGCTGTCGGCGCGGCAGCGCGGTCTCCTGACGATGTGTCGGGCAGCGTTCGGGTGCTTTGCTCCCAGCTCCACCCTTCTCCATGCGATGCAGACTGCGTGAACACATTGTGGAAAGTTGGAAGCGTCGGCAAAGTTTTATTGTGGAATAAACGTTTGAGGGAACAAGGACTTCAGCTGGAAAAAGCCTCTGGGGAAGCAGCTTTAGGAGCCTTTTTGGCGTAGTTGCRCTGGGAGGATTGATAAAGGGAAGAGCTTTTGTTCGGCTGCAGGGGACCTGAGCTCCAAGCAGAGATGAGAAGAGTTTGGCCTCAGTCTCCTCTCCATTGCTCAGAAAGTCAAAGCACAGAGATTGCATTAGAATTCCCAGCCAGGAACGATGTGGATAGACTCGTATTAAGGAATCCTCTCCTGCTCATTGCAAGCCAATAATTGTGAAATGTCAGTGAGAATTCAGAAGTCTTGAGATTAGGGGGTTATCTGGACAATCTTTGTAGTTTTATATGAATTAATGGCTCTAGTTTGGGATGTAGCATTTGGAGGATAGTGATGAAGATTGAAGAGAATGATCCTGTGTCACATTCTGGAAAGGATTTTCCTTATCCTGGGCTCTTCTGGCTTTGTCTCGCAGCTGACTTCCACCATCCCTATGACATAGCAGGAGAAATTGGGCACATATGTGGAAGAAAAGTGGCTTTTAAATGATACACAGTGCCTGACAGAGGTATAAAAACACTTGTAATAATTTGAAGAATTTTATTTCCTTGCATATCTCTTCAGTGGCGTTAAAAATGTGCCTCACCCATGTGTTGCACAGCTTATCAAGGGCGCTTTGGATTTTGTAACACTTCAGTCTGTGCARTACCCTGCCTTATAATGGCATGGATTATTGCAGCATCTTACACAAAGGTTTAAATGCAGTGCAATGCACTGAGTGCCGTTTTGTGAACTAACAACTCTCTGGGCAATAAAAGTGTCAAAGAAAAACATCTGCTTTTGTGAACATCCCCTAGGACAGGCTGTGTAGCATGGTATAAAACCCAGACACATTAATGGAATTAACTTTCTTGAAGGAATARCACTGAAACGTATGGTTATGGATTTAGATCACAGCAAGGGTATTAAATAAGCTCCATCCTGTCTCCCTGTGCCTTGATTTATGAAGCTTGAGCATTTTAAAGTCTTCAAAATGCCACTCAGCCTGCTCTGTAAACATTGCCTTTTCTGCCTAATTGTAGTTATTAACATGAAATCAGCAGATGCAAGTGGATACTAATGAAAAGTGAATTCTTAGCTTGCACGGAATGAATTTCTAAGCTGGGGATTCTAAGGGAAGACCAGTGACCTGGAAAATTCCTTGTGCAAACTAAATGTCATAACATGAGAGCTGTTGCAGGGCTCCAACTCAGGAACCCTGAATTTCATATATTCGATTTATCACCTATTTTTTGCTTATAATGGCACTTTATTATGGTTTAGCTTTTGTAAYGAAGCTGTTTATCACACTCATCTTTTGAACCAGATAAACAGCAGATCAGAAATGGGGTCCACGGGTGCTTTGCCACTTGCCCGTYGCAGACGGGCTGCACGTATCGGGAGCCCCACAAGTCCTGAGATGCACCGTGGGTTGCACTGTTTTATCACCCTTTTATTTCCCCGTTGCAGCCAAGTGAAGCGTAGCCCTGCGCAGGCTGTAGCCCCAACAAAGGACTGTCTTTTTAAGCTAAGGAAGGATCCAAGTCCTCTACTTTCTGGGCTCAGATTGCCTAATATGGTAAGGTATGTCTGYGCCGCGGCGCTGTTTTGCTGGGATACGAAGGAAAGTTGATTAGGAAAAGGGAACGAAATAGGTGCACCTCTTGCTAGCTGACACAAAAGGGAAAACTCTTCATCTGCATAGCAATATATGATACCATTTATCATATGTCTTAGTGTTGCTAGGCCAGGGTCCCTTTGGGGGAATTAAGGACACACACATTTTTCCCCTGGTTTTACCCTTGAATATTTACTTCTAGCATAGATGCAGCGTGACGTGGGAGGGAAGCCATCTGGCCCGTGTCCAAGGAAACGTAAGTGGTGTCACTTGCAAGACTATAGCAAAATTATAGGGCATTTAATTATGTTTAAAATCATTCTAAGAGATTGCTTCTGTTTAGTCCTGCTTATAAACGAAATGTTAAAAAGGGTGGAGTATGCTGGGACGAAAGGAGATTTTTAAATATGCGTGCAGCTAGCGATGTAAAGCTGAGTCTAAAATAGCAGAAAATTACTGCAAGGACATGAGTTAGCATTTTCCCAGAGAGTTGTTAGTCTGCTGAGGAACAGTTTTATTGCATTTGCAGTGCCCTGGATTCCTTGGGAGCTGGAGGCAGGGGAGACACTATAGAAATAAAAATGCATCCTGCAAATATTTCCACAAAAGATCTGCGCAGATAATTGGCCTCATGCTTTCTGTATCCAAATAAGCCTAGGTTGGTTTTTCCTACCCCTAGTCTGTTCTGAGAGGGCTGTGGGACTTGCTCTCTGCTCTGCCTGGGACACGGCATCGAGGCCGAGCGGTCCAGGCGTGCTGTGCAGCCTGCAAGGTTGCATCTAAATATGTCCAGGTTAATTCCTGTAATTCCTCAAGTTGCTGCATTAGGAAGGTGTAATGTGAAGCGGGTGTCCACAATGGAGTGCAGTAACACAAAACCAGCTAAAAAGCAATCATCGAGTCCTGGGCAGACGAGGCAAAACAGCGAGACCTCCAGGAATGATTTACAAGGTCATGGAGCCTTAACTATTTAACTGTAACTTTTTGTTTAGGAAATTTCCTCAAAATTCTGACTTAGTCCAAAATGGTTGATCTTTCCAAGTTGTCAGTTACTCCTTTTAAAGCCATGGCCCTGAGGTTAGCAGCGACTTGCTCCTTTGCCTGCACAGGAGTCATCTCATAGGTGTCCTGGGATCCAGTTGGGACTGAGAGCAACATGATGGCAGCATGGGGCAAATTCGTGCCATGAGTGCGTGTGATCTCAGCACCTTCCATGCAGTGTGGAAATGTCCACGTCTCCTCGAGAGGCTCTGGATGTGGCTGGGGTGACTGTTGGCCTAGAGCAG